AGATTATCCTGTTCTTTGACTTTAGCTAGAATGTGCAGATAAAATAGATTAATTGAAAGGAACCACAGAATGGAGTGTTTTGTTTTGTTTTTTTTTTTCATTTTGTTTTGTTTTCTACTTTTTGGCTACAGGTCATGTGCACCCACTTTTTACATAAAGTTAAATAAAATAATTGTTTTAAAAAATTGGTTTAGTACTTAGTTGTTATATACTAGAGGAAATTTTTCCATTGACCACTTTTCCATTATGAAAGTTTCTTCTTCCAGAAACCAGATGTCTCAATTTTTCAACTTGAATAAAAATACAATTTAAACATTAAACAATTTCAGGGGCTAGCACATGGCATGGTGATTAAGACACTGGACTCCCACATAGTCAATCAGTTTTGAGTCCTGGACCTGTTGGCTTACTTTCTGACTTTCTTTTTCTCTCTTTCTCTTTCTCATGAGCACACAAGCCCTGTAGAACATTAAAAAATAATAATGATGATGATAAATAAAGTTACATAAATAATTCTTTAAAAAATTAAAACATTTCATGGAACCAGAAGTTAGTGTAATGGCTATGTCACTGGACTCCGATGTAGTCGACCGCAGTTGAAGTCCCGGACCCGGTGGCTTAAAACTCACGCCGGGTGCATGTGCATGTGCCCAAGCTCCCAAGAGGAGAATGGAGGAGAAGGGATTGCAGCGTGGCCATCCCCCCTAGGGGGTGATTTTGCTTTCTGTCTTTCTGTCTCTGTCTGTCTGGCGAGCGCACGTGCCCTATGGCAAAAACCTCTCCAAAAAAAAAACAAAAAATTAAACCATTTCAGAAGTAATATGGGTGGTAAAAAGGATGACTAAACTGAACTCACACTGTCGTTCTTCCTATTGCTAGCCATTCTTGGTTTCATTGGAAGAATTTACTCACATTCTCTAACACTCCTCACGTACCTGCCGTGTCCGCTTCCTTTTCACTGTATGTACCTGCTCTAAGGGACATCACCCTTAATAAGATTCTCACTATGAATGGGAAGATCTGTGATGGTCTTCTCCTTGCATTCTCTTCCATGTTGACAAGGCCCTAAATTATTCAAAATCCTTCATACAAGTTACATGATACCCAAATATTTAAGTGCAAATAGTCCTATTAAGAAATATAAAATATCTGTAGCCAGGGCTCTGATAATACCAGCTGTTTTGTTTTTGGTTTTTTTCTTCCTTTTCCAGCAGGCACTTGTGCTGCCCAAAGGCAGAAAAAGAAAGAGAGGGAGAAAACACCCACAATGAGGCATGGTTATGTCACAATCGCTTTTCCTTCTTTCCTGCTTTTGGGCTTTTGGGCATGCACAAACTTTGGGGCATTCTCACTTTCCTTCCTTCTCTCTTTCTCTGGTGAGTGCACAAAACCTTTCCAAGCTACTAGGGCTGGGATTTCAAACTGCAGTTGTTCCTGTGGGATCTAGCTCCATTAACCACTATGCTATGGGGCCAGTCTGACCAGATGTCTTTTTTCAAAAGAGCTCAACCTTTAAAAAAAAAAAAAAACATTCCATCTTGACATTTTAAAATAAACTTAAATAAAAATTTAAGTGACATTTATAAAGAATACAATGTTCTTTATATATAATTTATTGGGGGAAAAAAAAAAAACTCTGCTAGGAATACTAAGACCTGAGTTACAGGCCCAACTTTGTCACTTTCTAGACACACATAAGTGTGTTTGTGTGTGTGTGTGTGTGTGTGTGTTGTTTTGTTTTTGTCTTTTTTGGAGAGGTTTTTGCTATAGGGCGCATGCGCTCACCAGATAGACAGAGAGAGACAGACAGAAAGTGAGAAATCCCCCTTCCCCCAGGGGGATGGCCACACCACAATCCCTTCTCCTCCACTCTCCTCTCAGGATCTTGGGCACGCACACACACGCGCCTGGAGTGAGTTTTAAGCCACTGGGTCCGGGACGCGAACCGCGGTCAACTATGATCAAGTATGACAGCCATTATGCTAACTGCTGGTCCCTAGATACACATAAGTGTTTTAAAATATAGCCAAGATTTGTTTTAACCAGGTATGGTAATATAACAGACATACAGACAACCGCTTCGAAAGAAGAGCTTATTAGCTACAGTTCTCAAGAGGACAGACTCCCATACCATGTGGGGCCACACAGGGAAACACCAGGCAGGAGGAATGAGGTGGGCACCAGGAGCCAGTCTTTATTCTGGTTTCCACAGAAGGAACAGGCAGGACTCAAGGTAGGCAAGCTAAGCCAGGTTAGGGTTACACAGTTTGAATAATGGCAGCGTGTTCTAGGCTATTGGGGTGGTTTTTATAGCTGGACCTGGGGCAATGTACAGATAGTATCCCTGACCCGAGGCCAGATAGATGAAGGTAAACTAAAGGGCATGAACTCCAGACTGTTGTTCGCATATCTAAGCCACTCTCCCAGGCAAGTTGTTTGCTATGTCTAAGGTTCAGGTTCTGGACCTATGGCTTGGTTTGCTTGCTTTGTCTTTCACTGTGAGTACTTGTATATAAATTGGAATTAACAATAATGATAAAGTTAGGTGAATAATTCTTTTAAAAAAACATTGCTAATCTTGGGAGGAACGGCCCTTTCTCAGGTCCCTAAGGTCCCAAGATGTCCAACCATTATAAAATTAGAAAATAAAAAATATGATTAATCCAAATATTTAACCTCTCTAAACCTCAGCCCCCTCCAATTTATACAAATGGGGACAACAATCCCTGCATGTGTATTACTCCTGATAATCAGTTAATGGGATCTGGGTGGGTGCCTACCTATTATAATAATAATTATAAAAAATTTAAACTCCCCATGTGAAAGATACAAACTGACTGAATTAATTAAACACACACACAATTATCTGTTGCCAACAAGAAACTCACTTCATCTGTAAAGATACAAATGAACTAAAAATGGAGAGATGGAAAAATGCATTCCATGCAATTGAAGCCAAAAACCAACAGGAATACCAATATCAATATCAGATAAAACAGACTTCGATTCAAAAACTGTAAAAAGAAATTTAAAAGGCCATTATGTAATGATAAAGGAATCAATTCAGCAATAAGACATAAACTGTGAATATGTTCATACCCAGCGTGGTAGCACCTAAATATATAAAACGATTATTACTGGGGTCAGCAGATGATGTAGTGGTTATGTCACTGAACTCCCACATGGTCAACTGTGGTTTGAGTTCTGGAACCAGTAGCTTGAAACTCCTGCTGGGTGCCACATGCATGCATGTCCAAGATCCCGGGAGGAGAATGGAGGAGAAGGGATTACAGTGTGGCCATCCTGGAGGGTGATTTCTCACTTCCTAACTGTCTCTGTCTCTCTCTCTCTTCAGTGAGTGCACACACCCTAAGGCACATTGGACCAAGTGGACCTAACTGATTTTTACAGAACATTCTATCCAACAACCACAGAATATATATCCTTTTTTTAATAATTATTTTATTATTTATTTTAATTTGACCAGAGATAGAGTGAGAGAGGGAGAGAGGGAAAGTGAGAAAGGAAACCACCAGGTCTGGGACTCAAACTGTAGTTGGCCATATGGGAGTCCAGCACCCTTAACCACCCCATGCCATCTGCTGGCCCCAGAATACATATTCCTTTGCTCTAAAAACTAGAACAAGACAAGAAGCTCCACTTTTACCACTCTTATTCATTGTAGAACTAGAAATGCTAACCAGAGAAATCAGACTAGAAAAAGAAATAAAGAGTATCCATATTTGAAGAGGGCATTCCAATTGCTTCTGTTTGTAGGAGATATGAAATTATATATAGAAAATCCTAAAGATTACACACACACACACACACACACGCACATACACACACAAACAAAACCTGGTTCAACATTTGAAAATTAATCAATATAATCTACTATATCAATAGGCTAAAGAAGAAAAATCATACTATCATACCATTTGACACACAAAATGCACTTATTCATTCTCTTTCCTTCTAGCTAAAGCCTGCCCACTGATGTTAACTTTCATTGGAAATTTTTTGTTTTGTTTTGTTTTCTGTCTCATTTCTTCACCAAAATGCTTGGGTCTTGGTAAAGAGTCTCTTAGTCCATATACAGATATTTCTTCACTTCCAAATCCCACAATAGTTGTTAGGCTCCTTATGCAACCTGGCTTCACTTTCTCTACATAACAAGGGTGAGAAACTCTTGTTAATCTACCAGAGAATACTGTCTAGTACAATCCTAATCCCTCAAAATGGGGACATATGTTCAGGAAACCGAAAGAATTACTCAACTTTAGAGACAAAGACGGTCGTCATTGATATTTGAAAAAAAGAAAAAAATTTATACAGTTAGAGATTTTAAATTTAGAAATTTAAAAGTAGATAGTGTAGCCAGCAGGTGGTATAGTAGTTGTGGCTGGACTTCCACATAGTCAACTGGGGAACCTGAACCCAACAGCTTAAAACTCACGCTGGGCACATGTGTATGCATGCCTAGGATCCCAGAGAGGAAAATGGAGAAGGAATTGAGGCATGGCCATCTCCCCCACCCCCAGGGGATGAGTTCTTGCCTTCTATCTTTCTGTCTCTGTCTTGCCTATTAGCAAAAAAATAAATAAATTAAATTAAATTAAATTAAAAAAAAGGTAAATACTAAAAGTATTTATTTTCTTGATTAACAGAAAAAAAAACTGTTTGCACAATTTTATCTTTTGTACTCTTACTGAGTAAGCTTATTTCAGATTACATTTAGAAACCTCCCTCAAGCAACTGGAGAGTCTGAGTTTGCAGAAAACATAAGAGCATCTAGTTTAATAATTACTCAGTCAGGACCCATGACCTATCTCTCTCTCTCTCTGTCTATCTCTTCCGTGAGCGCACATGCCCTATAGCAAACATCTAAAAAAAAGTGAACACTTTATTTCCTTGATTAACAGGGAAAGAAAAGAACTGTTTGCACAATTTCACCTTTTGTACTCTTTCCAAACTAAGCTTAGATTACATTTAGAAATTTCTCTCAAGCAGCAGGGGAATCTGCGCTTGCAGAAAACATAAGAGAATCTAGTTTAGTAATTACCCAATCAGGACCCAAGACCTATGTACTCTTTAACTTCCGACAGTAACACCTACGACCAGAATCTCCTTTTCTTAATACGTGCAACACATTCATCTTTGGCAAGAACACAAAAACAGTCACCATGAGCACCACAGGCAAAGTAGGTACAGTTGTCTCCTCTGTGTTGTGTCATCTGTGTCAACTTGTGTACTTATCTCTATGCAGTCCACCTCTGGGAGGTGGGAGACTATCTTAATTTTAGCATTTCTCTTCCTCCTTTCCTTTCTCTTTTATTCCCTTTATCTGCTTTGCTTTTCCTCAGATTTTTCATTCCTTCAATAAGTAACGTTCAAGTTCTCTGTCAGACTTTCTAGAGTCACAGATATATCCCCTCCTTCCAGGATCTCCTAGAGAGACAGAGTTATTATAAAAGAATGTACAAGGCTAGTAAAAACAAGATAAAAGATGGTGCCTCAAGAAAGAGCTCCTAACCTAGCTTGGCTTCCCAGAGGAATAGATACCTGAAGGAAAATGAAACAGAGAAGAATTCACCAGGTAAAGGAGGAAAGGGTATGCAAGTATATGAAATGACATGAGGAGGTGAAGAGAATGAAGCAGAAAGTGATAGGAAATAAGGTTGGAGAGACCGTCAGGGAGAAAATCATGTCAATGGACCTTGTTAAGCAATTTGATAGTAACATCATTTTTAGATAGGAAATTAGCATTACTGGAATTAAATTTTGAATGGCATCAATATAGAGGGTGGATATGAAGGTGATGAAACTGAGCTAGGATAAAAGAGAAAGCCCCTTTTAAAGTCTAGATGAAAGGCGGAGTCTGGGCCAGGCAGTACTAGCAAGAATGAAGAGAAGACAGATTTCAGGAGAATTTAGATTGTGGGAGTTGAGGGAAAAGGAAAAATTAAGGCTACTACCCAGGTTTCTATCTTGGGTGAATGAACAGATTGCATGGCCACTAGGTGAAAGACAGAAAGTTGAGGGAAAAGTAGATTTTGAGTTGTGTCCACTGGAATGGGGAGAGTGGAGATGAGAGAAAGACATAATAATGTGTTCGTGTTTTAACATGTTGAGTTTGAAAGAGAAGATGAATACGTGATTCTAAAATGTAGGAGACATTTGTCCCGTACATATAGATTGTGAAAGTCAACTACATAAAGACAGTGTTGAGTCTGCAAATAGATCACACAGGAAGAGAATTTATAGTGAAACAGCTGTGGGCTCAGAACCTCTAAGAACTACCTTACCACCAACTTCTCCATCTCAATCTGCCAATTGCTATCATTTTTGTTTCTTTGTTCATTTGTTTTTAAGAAAGATGTTTTGCTATAGGGCATGTAAGCTCACTGGAAAGACAGAGAGACAGACAGACAGAAAGAAAGAAATCACTCCCAGGGGTTTGGCCATGCTGTAATCCCTTCTCCTCCATTCTACTCTCGGGACTTTGGGCATGCAAGCACATGCACCGGGTGTGTTTCAGTCCTCCAGGTCTGGGACTCAAACCATGGTCAACTACGTAAGAGTACAACGACGTAACCATTACGCCATCTGCTGGTCCCCAATTGCCCTCGTTTGATGATTGCCACCACCAGATGGTCTCAATTTCTTGTTCCACAACTCCTAACCTGATTCTTTCACATAACTGAGATCACAAATAATTCCCACACAGTAATGACATCCTTACCCTTAAACAGCCACTGGGCAACTTCACTCATGGTAATATCATAAGTATGACAATGAACTTCTTTGTTGTGTTGCACTTTGTAAATAGAGTTGTATTTACAAAAAGTAATTAGAATACAGAGACTGAAAATTCAAAAAAAAAATTTATGGAGATTGGAGAAGCTACCTTCAACATATACGTGTGTGTGTGTGTGTGTGTGTGTGTGTGTGCACTTTCTTTTTCTTTTGGTGTGACTAAAGAAGACTTGGTCTAAACCTTCTAATAATTACTAATAGAGGAATCCTTCAACTCCCAAGCCTAAAGAGCTTCCCTTTTTACTCTCACATTTTATTTTACAGGTTATCAGATGCAGAGCAGCCATAGTTTGGAATCCTGGTGATCCATTTTCTATTGAAGAGGTAGAAATGGCCCCACCAAAGGCAAAAGAAGTCCGAATAAAGGTAAAAAAACAAAAATCCATATTTGAATATCAAAACCCAGAGCTGTTCATGGTAAGTTATACAATCTTTTCAAAAAGATCCACTGGGAAATAAAACTACATTGTATTTCTTTTTCATTAAACATTTCCATCTGTCTTTAAATTTATGCAGGAAAAAAAGGTTAGGGAGGTATGGCTAAATACTCAAAGGATAACACATACACTTATTTATAGTTAATTAATAACTATATTCCTAGTTATTAATTAAAAGAAGTTTCTCCTGTACCCACGAATCATTTTCATCTATAATTAAACATTTTTATGGTACATAAGTTATCTTAAAATATGTCATATGGGAAAATTGTTTGGTTACAGATAAATCAAACCTGAACCCTGGAAATTCAAGGATTCAAAAGAAACTGGAAACATTGATTACAGATAGGAACACTGAAGTCCACTGAGGATCAGTGACTCACACCTAAGCAGAGTAGAAGTAAGGATTTAGATTTCAGCTATTTTTCTCAATCTTGGTTACATATTAGAATCACCTAGAGGCTTTGAAAAATGCTGCTAATTGGGGTCCCAACCCTAGAGATTCTACAACTGTGATTTAATTGGCTAGGGCACAGCCTGGATACAGAATTTTAAATCTCCCCCAAATGATCTAATATACTTCCACCGGGCAAAAGATAGTTGGGTTGACTTCTAGCTCAAGGTTCTTTATTCTTTTCATTATAATGATGAAGTACTGTTTCTTAATGGATTACCAAGAGACAACAATTTTCTGAAGTACCTGACCTGTGTAGCCTGTGCCCACTCTGAGAGAGCTTTCTGTGGTCTACACCTATCGAGTAAGCAGGGGTTATCTTGCTATTACCCTCTACTCCCCACCCACAGGGTTACAAATTATGCAACCAGGTTTGGACACTCACTCAAATACATCCGACCATTATCTTACAAACTATGAATCTGATTCTCCCATTGGTAAATTTGACCCAAAATATAGAGACTATAGCACAGTAGGTGACAGTGGATACTGGAGACCTGAGTGGACTTGTGACTGGCAGCCACTTTTAACCACGTGATTATGATTAATATGGAGAAAGCCTGTTTGCAGAGGATAGCAGAGAATAGCAAGAGAATGCAAGCTAATCCTCTGTCGAATCAAAGTAAAGAGATAAAAAGATGAGCTGTGTAATGAAGTTCTAGATCAATGAGGTCTGAGTACACTTCTGACGGCTGGGCTGTAAGGAATTTTATGGTATTCTTCCATTAATCCTTGTTTTATAAGCACAAATTTCAATAGATTTCATTTCTTGGCTAAGAGGTGAGTAGGTGCAGGCAAGAGAGAGAGAGAGTGTATGCAATGTGTGCATGCATGCGTGCATGCAGACATCACATCCATTTTAGAGAGAGGAAACCGAGACTTACAAAAGATAGGTTACCCCCACATCACACAGCTGAGAAGAGGAAAAGCTGGGATTTTAGCCTTGAACTCTTAATCACTGCTCTAGAGTGCCTTTGTTTTACACTGTCTGGCTAATTTACAATACAGTGGGGTTATGACTTGCACTAATAACACTACTATAACGCCTACTTGTGAAATAAATTAAAGCTTTAATTATAATAGAAAACATTATCCCTGTTCCTTCTCAATTCCTTCCTTTCCAATTCCTTTATCTTGATCATTTTTTCCTTCCACACTCCTACCCACAAGCTCAATGAAGGAGCAAGTGAGACCTTCACTGTGTGGTTCTATGACTTCTCGTCAGACCCCATTCTACTCTCCCCAGTATATCCTGAATCATCTTGATTCAGAAATTAGCTAATGAAAAGCACTCCATTGCTTTAAATAGATTGTTATTGACCCTTAGTGAGAATTCACACTGATAAGAAATGAGTGTACTATATTAATAGAATATATCAAACTAGCAGAAAGGCTTAGAATGCTAACAATTCTAAAACACCTTCATCTGAGACAGAGGAAACTGTAGTACTCTTTGCCTTCCGTACAGATCATGGCCACAGGACTCTGTGGTACAGAGATGAAAATGTTGAAGAGTGAAAACATTCGCCTACATTATCCCATCATTATGGGTCACGAAGGGGCTGGTATAGTCGAGAGTGTGGGAGAAGGAGTGAGCTCAGTGAAAACAGGTATGAATGGGCACTGGGGGTTGTAAAATAGCAACAACTCGGAACCCACATATTAATAAAGCACATCCTTTAAATATGTTAACGAAAAGTGAAATAAATGGTGACATTTGCCCATTTCTTTATTTTTTTTAGAAGTTAATTTCTTCTATGAATCAGAGAAAACGAAAGAAATACAGAGTGAGGGCATCCCCAAGTAGGTCCTGACCCTGTGATCTACCTCTATCCTTCAGCTAGCCCTGGATCATGGACACATGCATGCCTCGAGTACTCAGGGAGGTTTCCAGACTGGAACTGGGAACCTTCCCATGTAGGTCAGCCTTGCAGAGCATTGCATTTTACCTCTGTACTAGCATATGTCCCCCAATATCGCCCATTTCTTAGAAAAAGATGGATAATTATTTATAAGTTACACTGACGATCAAATCGCATGGTGGTCCCAAAGAAACTTACACAGAGGCAAATTTGTGACCAGCTCAAGATTCAGCCTCTGAGCACATAGCTGGACACATATGCTGAAGACATTTCTTCTTTTAATAACTATTTTATATTCTTCATAGTATTAAGCATAGTTCCATGCTGAAATAATTCTCATTTATGCTATTTTCTTGCCGTTGAAATCCTGAGAGACAGCTATCTCTTTTCTTTAAAAAAAATAAAAATTAAAAAAAAAAGTAACATCTTGGGGCCAGAAGGAGACATCAGTGGGTAAGGTGCTGAATTAATTCCCTCATAGTCAACTGTGGTTCAATTTCTAGATCTGGTGACTAGCTTCCTCTCTCTCTCTCTCTCTCTCTCTGTCTCTCCCTGTCTTACTCTGTCTCTTTCTGGTGTGCACACAAGCCCTGTCACAAGTTAATAATACTAATGATGATGATGATGATGATGATGATGATGATAAATGAAATTAAGTAAATAATTCCTTTTTTTAAAAGTAACATTTTAATAAGAAATGTTTTGCTGTCTCAGGA